TTGCGACACGTTTAAAAAAGCGGTCTAGTGTCAGTTGTTTTGGAGGAAACTTAACTCACAAGTGCCTATTGATGTCTGCACCAGAAATCGTCGAATTTTGTGAAATCTGATGCCTGTAGACCGCGTTGCAGAGTGTAGAGTGCAGCTCTCACCTGGCAAACTGGGCTTTGTAGCCAGCGACTGGGCTTATTATCCGGCGGATTTTGCTTTGTAAAATTCCGTCCCAAGATGATTTGGGCTTCATACGCGGTTGGGCCTATTAATCGTGGGCTTAATAACCGGCGACTACTGTAGTAGCAGAAAGGGGGGTGATACATGCACAGGAAGTTGCAGTGTTTATAGGACACAGCCATTACTGCACACATATGACAAATAACGACAATTAACGATAAATGCCTTCGTGTGCGTGGATTGCTTGATGACCGGCATGCGTTCGTGACCTGCTGAGCTTGCATCACGCGTGGTGAAATTGGACGTTCGGCCAGCTGGTTCTTCGGTGTTGGCCTGAGACAACGCGGTGGCCTGTGCGTTTCCCAAGTGACCATTTGCTTTGGACAAATTGAGCCTAAAGGCTGAATATGGATTGGGCAAGTCGTTGTAATTCTTTATGGACTGGGGGCCCGTTAACCAGGACTCAAGTGATTCTCGGCTTACATGATTATCACCTCTTGCAAGAATTTCGGCCTCATCTCGTCGAATGAGCCGCAACTTGAGAATTGGCATCATTGCTGCGTGTTCGGCACCTCGCGTTTTGAGAAGTCTCCCAGTTTCTCCGACGTAGTTGCTTTGTACGCAGCTGCACAAGATCCGCTAGACGACTACAGATGTTTCTTGCCGTGGCAGTGGGTCTTTTGTTTTCATTGTCTGACGCCTTATCGTTGCCTCCGGTCTAAGTATGACTCCAACTCCGAGTGGTGCGAGAAAGCGGCCGACGGCCTTCGAGATGCACACGAAGGCTTTTATCGTTAATTTTGTTATTTGTCATGTGTGTGCATTAATGACTGTGTCCTATAAATACTGCGACTTCCTGTGCATGTATCATCCGTTTCTGCTACTATTTTTTGCTCATGAATAATCTGTGACGGAGGTCGAAACGTCAGGCGAATAAAATTGTTGTCTCAGCCATCGAATCTTCTTCTTCTCAGTAACTTCCCGGGACGTTTTAATTATCTCTTTGCATAGAACAGACATTTTATTTTGCGTTCATGAAATTGACGCAAATGCAAGTATAACGTATTATTGTCGGGGAAAGAAAAGCGGGTTAAGTTTCAAAAAATTATATTTTGCAAATCTGCTATGTTTTATGCCGTCAAATTAAGAAATAAACTTATAAGGCTGTAAGTTGTTTACCACATTGAAAATATCGACCGTAAACAGGCCTATCGATGCACACCCGAGACGCACGGTTACTTTTCTCTGTCAAGACGTATGCAAAAGATTGTGGAATACGAGGTTATCCGGCCGGATAATAGAAGATAGAACGTATCCCAGCGGTTATGAACGAGTTGATAATATAAGGCGTGGAAGGCCAGAGTGTTAGGAATCATTTAATTAAGTGTAGAAAGAGTAGAATATAAGTAATGGGTAAGTGACTCCCAGACGAGTGCACTTCAGCCATGAGTGGGCCGGAGTCCAGAGTCGCATTCCGGTCGGTGTAGTCGCCGTGTTTGGAAGTCTGCAACAGGCAGTAAGTCGCCTGCTCCGAGAGTCTCTGAGAATAAGCAGTCACCACCTTAAGGTCCTTTTGTGACTTGGCCTTGGGAAGTGGTTGGACAGTTGTCCAGACACGTCCGCGACCTTAATCGGACGATTGACGCTGTCTGGAGCGCACGGGCTGGTGGCCACACTGACATGCCCCAGACGCGTGCGAGCAAAACATGGCTTAGAATACAAGGTCGCTCCAAGATGTCCAAACGTTCTCTCACCACAGTTCAGTATGACCGAATAGAGAAACTTGAAACGGAAATGGCAGAAGGTTCGCAGTTTTCACAAAATCGTAGTATAGATTCTGCCACATCGTTTTGCTTTTGAAATCACAGAATCACACCAGATGGGTGTCTGGCTCGGACAGTAAACTAATGGTCGTTATAGGGACGACTTAGTGAGGTCAGTTCTGGGGTCTACCTCTTCGGCGTATATTCCCTACTATACACTATCCGAAGCACTTCAATCTATCACGGTTAACTAAGATCAATGCCTTAGAAGGCTGCCAACTGGTGGAATAGCTCGGTACTCCGTTCAGGGAGAAGAGTCAAGCTGAAAAAACTGCCGCCAAATGTGGGCCCGCCTATGAGCCCTTTCACTCTGTTCGGCCTCCGGTCGCCCTTTTCCTGTTTGTGTGAAATCCTGATCCTCCGCGGACTGGGCGTGTGTGGCACACATATTTAGGCTGTTTGGCGTTGTCAGCCCCTT